AACCGCTCTGAATGCCCCCTCTCGGCATCCATAGGAGGAAGGCTGTTCTCACCTTTCTTGCCTGACGCTGTGGTGGAGGCCTCCTGGGGCTCTTCTGCATCATTTGGTTCTGCAAAATCTTCTCTTATCACTGGCAGAAGAGATATCATTCATGTCAGCGTTCAGACAGACTGAAGAGCTGCCGAGAGGGGAGCCGACAGGACTGGGAAGTCCAGGAGGGCAGGTAGCACAGGGCTGGGCCATCTGCCAGCCCTACAGGCCCCCTGGGTCTGCCACGATTCGACCAGCTTGAGTTTACTGTAACCTGGGTGGCTGTCACAGTGAACCTGGGGACGGTTACCCCACAGTGGTTCAGTCTGATCCATTTAGTCTCCAACTAATGGGAGAGAAGCCCCAGAACCCCACAGCCCTCGCCCAGGAAAGACACTGTGAATGGTAGGAAATGGAGCCCTGGAAGGCTGATGGCCACCGTGGAGGGAGACGCTTTGCCACATGAAAAGTACATGCTGTTGACTAGACGTCTGTGCAAATGCTTTTCTTTCTTTTTAATTTCTGCTGTAGGGCATGTGTGCTCACCAGAGACAGATGAGACAGAGAGAGAGAGGGAAAGTGAGAAGCACCCTCCCGGAAAGGGGGATGGTCATGCCACAATCCCTTTTCCTCCATTCTCCTCTTGGGATTATGGGCATGCATGCATGTGTGCCCAACATGTTTTCTAAACCAGTGGGTCTAGGACTCGAACTAGTCCTAGTTGCAGTTGGCCAAGTGCGACCCAGCCACCATAACCTCACCTCATCTGCTCTCCCTACACAGATACTCTGTAGCTGCTCTTCCCAGGACTGTTCTGAGAAAGAATGAAGGGAGCTAAGCACCTTGAACAGCTGTGTCTGCAATGACTTTCGAAGAACGGGTAGGAGCTAGCTCGTACTTGCTAGCACCCATGAATGGCAAACGTATATGAAGTCCTGCCAGTGTTTGCTGAACTAAAATGATGACAGGACTTCAAGCCATAACAAGTAAATGCCCATTTCACATCACAGTGTCACCTTCCTCTTGTCTACATGATACTACAAGGTAGGTCTCAAATTCTAGCCCCCTTACTGCAATGGTGGCATGCAGCCATTAGACCTTTGAAGTAATGTATTACTTTTCCAACTACTTGAATAATATCTACCCTTGGTCCATCTAGCCCCTACAGCAGATGCCGCTGCTTGGAAGGCTGAGGCTATGTGGGAAGACCAAGTTCGAGTCCCAGCCTATCCTGAAAGTCTGGGTGCTGCGTGACACCCAGGGTCTCAGGGACTCAGGAGGCTAAGGCAGGAGGACAGCAACATGGAGAAACCCTGTCTAAAATAATGCCACACACACAGACACGGATACACACACACTGAGGAATGAAACAATGTATGCTCTTAAAAATTAAAATGACAGGGCCAGCTCTGTGGCCTGGTGGTTCGGTGGCCAGATCCCATATGGCTTACTGCTGGTTCGAGTCCTGGACCTGATGGCTTGAAAAGCGCATGGGACGTTGGGACCAGCAGTTAGCATAATGGCTATGTCGCTGGACTCCCATGTAGTCGACCGTGGTTTGAGTCCCGGACCTGGTGGCTTAAACTCACGCCGGGTGCGTGTGCGTGCGTGCATCAGCGGGTTGGCAACACCTATCGGCCGCCCGTTTCTTTTTCTCTGTTGTGCCCACTTCCTTGTCTCAGGGCTCTTGCCTGAGGTTCTTGGTTGGCTGGTGCATGGTCCCTTTGCAGCCACCTGATCTAAGCTAAGTCGGCCCCAGTCGATGTTAGCTTGCACGGTGCCAGAGCCATTGGGCATCTCCTGCGAGTCTTCTTCCTCACTTACTTTGGACATTAAGTTGTCATTGGTCACTGAAGGAAGAAAAATTATTAGAGACTACAGGGTATGGGTGTTAGGAAGAAAAGTGGACAGCAAAAATCCCCACCTGAGCCCCATCCAGTGCTTCAAATCTCTCTTGGAAAGGGGTGGGTACCAGGAGGTGGGTGTATGGGAAGGCCAGATTAGTGCAACATGAGACCTCGGGGTGCTAGACACCATGGTGCTGGCACCACAGGCTGGCTTCCCCAGGTGTTGAGCAGGGCCTGTTTCTCACCAGAAGTGCCTCTTTCTTCCTGGACGAGTCCACCAAGATGCTCAGCAGGGGCAGAACGACTAGGCTCACCGTCTCTGGATACATGAGGCTGCTGGCTCGGCGGGGACAGCTGAGGTGGTGGGGGAAGTGGCAGGGCCTGGAGGAAGCACCCTCCTGCTAGGTCGACTGGAACTTCTGTGGCTCTGTTCCATTCTTCGTAGGTGGTGAACATTGGGGTTGATGAAAGAACATGCATCAGGCCTGGAGACTCAGAACAACCTGGAGAAGGGGCTTTCTTACTACTGTGGTGACATCCAACAGGACAGAGATGGAGGGTTAGTCCTGCTCCCCAGGTGCACAGAAACGACCCATCGTCACCACTGTCCACTCATGGCCATGTTCTATCGCGTTGTCGGGAAAGTCATGGTGCATTTTTGCATAGAAAAACACGGAAAAATATGTCATGACTTTCCCGATGGCTTAACATTTTATTTGACTTGAGCACTTCCGTATTAGAATAACCGCTTCTAACTCTTAACCCAACACCAGAGAGCTTTCCCACAAACTGTCAGCTTGAAGTTGTACCCAGGGATTCAATTTTCTTCAGTTTTGGTCTCATAGAATTTAGTCAATTATATACATGCCATCACTTTAATAGAGATTGCTGTTTTAATATATAAATATGCTTCTCTGGAGCAAATAAGATAAAATAAAAATTTCTTTCTTGAGACCAGCAGGTGGCATAATGGTCACGGTGCTGGACTCCCCTCCCACATGGCCCACTACAGACTCAGACCCAGAGGCTTAAAAATCACATCAGGTATGTGTGTGCACATGCCCAAAATCCCAAGAGGAGAATGGAGAAGGGATTCCAGCATGGCCATCCCCTCTGAGGGGTGATTTCTCACTGTCTCTCTCTGTCAGTCTCTTTAGCAAGTACAAGTGCCTCTTAGCAAAATCTCTCTAAACAAACAAACAAACAAACAACCCAAAGAATTTCTCTTCTTTTCTTTCCTTTTTTTTTTTTTTTTTTTTTAGGTTTTTACCATAAGGAGCGTGTGCTCACCAGAGAGGAGAAGACGGTGAGAGGGAAAGTTAGAAATCCCCGCCCAGGGGGGGATGGCCAGGCTGAATTCCTTCTTCTCCATTCTCCTCCTGGGATTTTGGGCACACACGTACGCACATGAGTCTAGTGTGATTTCTAAGCCGCCAGGTCTGGGACTCGAATCACGACTGGCCATGTGGGAGTCCAGTGCTCCAACCACTATGCCAGAATGCTCCTGTGGTCCTTCTCCATCACTGATTTCAGAAGTAAAATAGTCTCAACAGTGAACAAAAAAAGGCACGCCAAGTCAGATTTTGGAAAGGGAACCAGAATAAAGTCACAGTTAAGATCGGGGACGATGCCTGAGCGCGGCCAGCTCAGGACACCTCTGGCTCTCAGCTGTGCTCGGCATGGCCGGCGAGCTCCGCTCCTCCCCGTGCTGCCAGCAGGTGGGCCCACGTGCCGCTGCACCTGCCAAGGCGGCCTTCTCTCTTCTCTGTCCCTGGGGCTCAGGGTTCATCGCTCTCTTTGGGGAGCAGCTCCTGATGAACATGTGTCAGAGAGCAGAAGAGGGGCTGTCAACAGTGGTGGCTCCACTCACGAAAATGCCACAATCCAGTGTGATCTGGGGCCCCGCCCTCGTCATTCTCAGGCAAGTAAGCCAACTGCTTTGGCCAAAGTGCTTTTCCTCCATCTAAAGTCGTCTTCCTGCCGGCTCCTCTCACTCGACTCCTTCTTCCCAGCTCCATCACTGCTTTCTCTGCACTCTGTTAAGAGCCCTCGCCTTTTCTCAGTGTGCTCCGTGCACCATCCTTCCTCATACCTCTGCTTGCTGAGTCCCCGTCCACGATGGGAGATGCCTTTCTCTTCATGACCTTTCTTCTCTCCTCCAGCTTCCAACCTGCCCTCAGGCCACCCTCGTTAAGAATGGGTTAAACTCTTTTGTTGTTGTTGTTGTTGTTTGTTTTGTTTTGTTTTTTGCTTTTGTGTGTGTGTGTTTTTTTTGGAGAGGTTTTTGCTATAGGGCACGTGCGCTCCTCAGACAGACAGAGAGACAGAAAGCGAGAAATCACCCCCCAGGGGGGATGGTCACACCGCAATCCCTTCTCCTCCATTCTCCTCTCGGGATCTTGGGCACACACGCACACGCGCCTGGTGTGAGTTTAAGCCACCGGGTCCAGGACTCGAACTGCGGTCAACTACATGGGAGTCCAGTGACATAGTCATTACGCTAACTGCTGGTCCCAAGAACTGGTTAAACTCTTGTGTCCTGGTATCAGGGGGCCCAAGTAGGACTCCTGGCTCTGCGTCTTAACAGACATGTCACTTGGGGAAGTTCCAATGGAGCTCTAACTTCCTTGACTGCTAAGTGGGGAGAATAATGACCTCACGGGGTTGCTTTAAAGATGACCTGAGATCGGGGCCAGAAGGTGGAGTGGAGATTAAGGCACCGCTGACTCCGAGATGGCTGACTGTGTGGTCTGAGTCCCAGGCACGCGTGTGTGCCCGAAATCCCATGAAGACTGGAGAAGAAGGGATTGGGACATGGCCATCTCCCGCGGGGGTGATTTCTCACCTCCTTCCTCCCCCTTTCTGTCCCTCTCTGGCAAGCACACATGCCCTACAGAAAAAACTAAAACAAAACAAAACAAAAGATGACATGAGATAACCCTAGCAAGTAGGGATAATGCACTAAAAAAAGATCGTTATTCTTTTCCAGCTCCATCTAAGCAAGTAGGGATAATGCACTAAAAAAAGATCATTATTCTTTTCCACCTCTATCTATTTTTGCTTCCTTCTGGCTCTCCATCCTGTCAGACCTGGTCTCTGCAACTGCATTTCTCTTACTTTAAAGAGGCACTTGCTAGAGCTTATCCAGTATGCAAAGTTGTACAATTTCCCCCAGATTCACGGAACAGAAGATAGAAACATTAGTGCCTGTAGAAACTCCTCTTAGAGAGTTCAGGGCCAGAGTTAGCCCGAGCCGTTCCTCCTGCCACACCTGTGGGAGGGTAGCTCCAACACCTTCCTAAAGAGAAAGCTGGGATTAGAGTGCACATCCCACATGGGAGGGAGTAAACCCGGACTTTGAGGACAGCAACGTCCCCAAGTGAAAAGTGTTTGCGAAACCTCCTTACCGTTTCGGAAGCTCTGGCAAATCGTGTTGAGTTTGGGGTACTCCACCAGGTTGATGCGGCTGAACAACGTCTTCAGCAGGGGCACGCTAAACCTCGTCTCCAGCTGGGTGAGGGTGCTGTGTACCACTTTGGCGATAGGGACCAAGTTTCTACAGGCTTCCATAGATTCCTTAAAAATGGAGTGAAGGGTTCTTATACGTGGTTGTAGCTGAATGGAGAGTGATTACTCATCTGTAGTCACGTAAGTTGTAAGGAAGCTACGTTACACTTTTAAGAAGAAATTGAACATTCGTCAAACCCTTGAAGGTAGAGAGGCCACCGTTCCACACGTTTACTCTGGGGACGTCATCCACGTTTGGATGATCAGTTATAGGAAGAAGGCTATTTGCTTTCTTTAAAGGCAGTCTGTCTTGTGGGCCTTACTTCTAGGGTATTTGAAGGCAGAAAGAAACATTACCGAGGGAATCTGGAGTCCAAAGACGCTACTGTGTCGTTAACTCTTTAAGGCTCTGGGCAGGATACCCTAGCAATGGGGCCACTGAGTAGTCATAAGTGCCGCCTCTGTTGATTGACTGTTAGCCTGTGCTGTCTGTCTCGGACTTGAGGTGGCCTAAAGAGGTTCCAGCCACAGGTACGCCATCCAGAGAACTACTCTTGCTGACAGTATGAACAAAAGAAGAAACACGGCAGAGTACAACTGATTTTAAAATATAGGGTTGTCGGAACAGTCATGCTGCATGTTTGCATAGAAAAATATGTCATGACTTTTCCAACAACCCAATACTTACTGAGTCCCTGCTAGGCTGCCTGGGCACACAGGAAGGGGCTCCCCTGCTGGGGGTGGGTGGGCACTGCCGAGTGGAGAAGTGGGCATTAAATGACAAGCTCAAGTTACATAAATATCCAATTACGGTTGTGAGTAGAGTTATGAAGGGTAGGCATGGACTGCTACGAGATGAGTAACCAGTATGGGTGGGTCCAAGAGGCCTCTCTGGGAGGTGCTATCTGGGCTGTGATCTGAAGAGGGCGCTGGAGCTAACTAGGCCAGAACTGGAGGAGGACGATTGTAACATTGCCAACACTTCCCTGGGCCTGGGGCTCAGAGGATAGTTGCAAAACCCCAACCCTATATTAAAAGAGCGTCACTTTTGTCCATATAACAGATCTCCCAAAGCCTACTGGCCTCACATCAGAGTGAACTGTGAGCGATAAGCTCTTCTAAATGGGGATGATGCCTGCAGTGGGGAGACTATCACCCCTCTCCCAAAAGAATTGTCCGTCCAGAAACTGTGAGTGTGAACTACTTGAAAAAAGTCTTTGTAGGGGTAATTAAGATTCTTGAGATGAGATCATCCTGGGATAGAATGGGCTTTAAATCCAAGTGTCCTTATAAGAGGAAAAAGGAGGGACCAGCAGATGGCGTAATGGCTACATTGCTGGACTCTCATGTAGTCAACTGTGGTTCAAGTCCTAGACCCAGTGACTTAAACTCATGCTGGGCATGTGTGCATGCACGCCCAAGATCTCAAGAGGAGAATGGAGAAGGGACTATGGCGTGGCCATCCCCCCTGGGGGTGATTTCTCTCTTTCTGTCTCTCTGTCTCTCTCTGTCCTTCTGGTGAGCGCATGCACCCTATAGCAAAAACCTCTCCCCCCCCCCCAAGAAAAAAGAGGAAAAAGGAGAGAGGACACTACAGACACAAGGCAATGTAGAGGTGGACAGAGAGACTGGGGAGAAGTGTCCGCAAGCCAAGGAACACAAAGGACTGACAGCAGTCCACGAGAAGCTGAGGGAGAGGTAGGGAATGGATTCCCCTTAAAGCCTCTAGAAGGAACTAATCCTATTGACACCTTGATTTTGATCTTCTGGACCCAAGAACTGTGAGTGCATACGTTGCTCTTGTTTTCAGTCCCTGGTTGTGGTCATTTGTTAAGGCAGCCTATATGACATCCCAGAATGAACACAGTGCCCATGACACTCCCTCTGTCAGTCATACCCACCTTGTGGTAATGAGCATGCCTGGGCTGACCTTCCAAACCCTAGAAGCCCTGGTGGTTTGTGTTTGAGACCCCAGTAATTGGCACACTTGGTGGCAACTGGGCTGCCATTTGAAGACTCCACGTGACTCACCCCATACTGCCTATCGCTGATGAAGGATTTGTCCCAGAGGCCTTCGAAGAAAGGAAATGGCTTATCGATGGCATAGGCGATCTCTAGCTTCTGGTGTGAGAAGTGCTGAAAAAGAGCCGCTTCTAAGGTCTTGGTCATGGTGAAGGGAAAGACATGATGAGAAAGTAGAAGCAAAGATTCTGAGTGCAGGGAGATACTCTCTGCATTCAATGGGCATCTAAAGATAGGTATTCAAAACCCAAAGGCACCCCCTTCACAGTCCACAGAGCAAAGTCTCCCCAAAAGACTCATGGGTATGGGAAACAGTGACAATTCCTAGCAGCCATGGAGGTTGAGAGTGACCAACAGTCTGATGCTGAAATCCCAACAAGGCTTGCTTCCTGTGTGCCAGACCTTGTTCTAAGGGTTTCAGATGCAGCCACGTCACAAAGCCCTTGAGAGACGGTTACTAAGATGGCACTCGTATTGCTGAGGACCCTGACACAGGAAGTCTCATAACACACCCTAGGCTGTGCAGCATGGAAGTGGCAGAGGTGGGAACAGACCCCGACTCAGCGTCTAGGCTTGCAGTCCTAAGTGTGTGCTATGACTACATGGAGCTGGGCTGCAGCATGAGTGTATTTAGCAATGCTCCTGGAAAACGACCACCCAAAATGGGTAGAAGGATGGAAATCTGATAATATTTAATTCAATAAATCACCCACCATCTTCAACACCAACAGGCCTACCATAAACTAAAACATGAAGGATGTGAAAGGCATGATTAGGAAAGGTGACTTTATGCACATATCTTTCTCATGCATCAGGGCAGACATGTGCTTTTTTCCATGCCCATGTAATGTGACCACATATGGACCCTGAGAAAATATCAGTAAGTTCTAACAGGCAGAACAGAGACAGGTACCATTCTTGATATGTTGTCACCTTCCGATTTTTCTTTTCTTTTCTTTTTTATAGAGAGAATGTTACTATAGAATGTGTGTGCTCACTGAAGAGACAGAGAGACAGAAAGTGAGAAATCACCCTCTGGGGGGATGGCCATGCCTCGATCCCTTCTTCTCCATTCTCCTCTTGGGATTTTGGGCATGTATGCACATGCGCCTGGTGCGAATTTTAAGTTGCCGGGTCCAGGACTCAAACCATGGTTGACTACATGGTAGTCCAGAGACATAACTATTATGCCATCTGCTGGTCCCCACCTTTGGATTTTTACAAAACCAAACCAACATGGATCCTGTTTGTCTAACTTCACTTTTGTGTCAAACATAATCAAACTGTAATTAATGATGATTTTCAAGTATTTAATCCTGGTGGCAGACAGAACACTACTGTTTTTTTCTCCTCCTTCCCAAATTCTTCACATTTCACAGAAAAAGGTATTGCAAAAAAGAACAATCCACATCAATACTGGAAAACAAGAGAAGAAGCCTATCATCGGGAAGAGGTCCCAAAAGTAAAGAACAGATGGGAGAGAAATCCACCCTCCACCACATGCAAAGGGAGAGCAGACGCACAGGTCAGGGCGGAGTTGGAAAAGGTCAGAATGAACACGTGCTAAGGAGAGGAAGAGGCCCTGGCTCCACTTGGAACAATGTATGATACTATGGCTCTCAGGGCATTGCCAGTTCCTCACCTTCTTCTGCTGGGATTCCCGAAGACAAAAGCAAAGCACAGAGAGATGAAGGGACCAGCTCAAGGCAGCCAGCAGCAGAGCCACGCAAAGTCATGTGTCCTATATGACAGTGTTCTCGTTTTCAGTATGTGAAAGGACCTTACAAGTGAGTAAGCGAAAGACAAATATCCAAGTAGAACAAAAAGAAAAAAAAAAAACAAAACAAAGACATGAACACTTAATTAACAAAAGACTAAGACAAATGAGCTATGAATATATGAAAACCATTTTCTTGCTAGTACTCAGAAAAATACAGATGAAGACAGTTTGATACCCATGTAGTCGACCGTGGTTCGCGTCCTGGACCCGGTGGCTTAAACTCACGCCGGGCACATGTGTGTGCGTGCCCAAGATCCCGAGAGGAGAATGGAGGAGAAGGGATTGCGGCGTGACTATCCCCTCTGGGGGGTGATTTCTTGCTTTCTGTCTCTATGTCTCTCTCTGTCTGTCTGGCGAGCGCACGCGCCATATAGCGAAAACCTCTCCAAAAAAAAAAAAAAAAAAAATTTTCATAGTGACAAAACTAATCTAGATGCAAGAAAAGAGTGATAACAAATTCCAGAAGATACAAAACGAAGGGATTGCGGCGTGACTATCCCCTCTGGGGGGTGATTTCTTGCTTTCTGTCTCTATGTCTCTCTCTGTCTGTCTGGCGAGCGCACGCGCCATATAGCGAAAACCTCTCCAAAAAAAAAAAAAAAAAAAATTTTCATAGTGACAAAACTAATCTAGATGCAAGAAAAGAGTGATAACAAATTCCAGAAGATACAAAACAAAAGAGACAACAAGTTCCAGGAGATGAGGAAGGAAGTTCTTCCATGATTTGAAAGAAGAAATATGCACCATAAAAAAATCTCTCCAAAAAAAAAAAAAAGAATCAAATGGGCCTGTTAGAGATAAAGGCTGTAATACAGGAAATTGAAACCTGTATTAAAAGCAGATTAGACCACGCAGAAGGTTGAATCTTGGATAGAGAAGACAAAACTTCTTGGGACCAGCAGATGTGTAATGGTTATGTCGCTGGACTCTCATGTAGTCAACTGTGGTTCGAGTCCTAGATCCAGGTGGCTTGAAACTCATGCAAGGTGCGTGTGCATCCAAAATCCTGAGAGGACACTGGAGGAGAAGGGATTGTGGTGTGGCCATCCCCCTTGGGGGATGATTTCTCATTTTCTGTCTCTCTCGTGAGCACAAGCACCCTACAGCAAAATCTTTCTCTCTCTCAAAAATAGTAACAAAAACAAAAACAAACAAACAAAAAAACACACCTCTGTCCCAGAAAAAAAAATAACCAAAAAACGGAGAAAATAACTCCCAAGATGAGAATAATATAGGAAAAATAATAGATACCACTAAATGCCCAAACATTTGGATAACTGGTATCCCAGAAGGTGAAGAAACTATTAGTCATCAATGCCCTCATTAAGGCCTGTTTCATGAAATCCTGGAAGAAAACTTTTCCAAACCTAAAGAGACATTCAAATATCAAGACCCATGACATACAAAGGACCCCGAACAGAATCAACCCAGGAATATCATCTCCAAGGCACATAATAGCCAGATTGGCCAAAACCTCAGATAAAGACAAGATACTAAAATTGGCAAGAAAGAAATGTCAAGTTACTTACAAAAGATATTCCGTCAGGCTAATGCTGAACCTCTCACTGGAAACAATGCAAGAAAGGAAAGAATGGGAAAATATATTCAAACTGTTAAATGAAAAATAATTTCAACCGAGAATACTATATCCAGCAAGATTATCCTCCCTATGGGGAGAAAAGATAAAAACATTCTCAGACAAACAAAACCTGAAGGTATTTACCAACACCAGACCAGCTCTTCAAGAAGTTCTGAAGGGCATGCTATTCCAGGAGAACTAAAGACAGACAGAAATAAGAGAACAAAAACGGCCAAAAAAATGGCCAATTTGGGGGGACTAGTCCAGAAACATTAATAATAATGTAGAATGTTAACTTCCAGGATTTAAATGGAAAGATTGGACCACAGTAACATTGTAAATTCAACAAGTCAGTTTATGCCTCTCTTTAGTACAAGGCGGAATGGAAAGAGAGAAAAAATGTTTCAGAAGAAAATTACAGTGCACTTGTTACTAGATTTTAGCTTTGTCCCTATATCTAGTTTAATTAAGATCTTTTCAGAATCAATAAAATGTGGGAAAAAAGGTTTAATAAGGGAGGGAGGGAAAAAATAAAAGTACGTTTAAATGACAAATAAAAGAGAAGCTATTTGGTGATGATAATGTATATAGTAACGTCTTTGTCTTGACTGAGATGCATGGTATTTTTGCTGGAAAAAGAAATGTACAAGGTAAAGATATATGTGACTAAATGTAAATGAGAGAGAGAGAGAGAGAGAGAAAAGTTAATGGACCACAATAAAAATAAATTAAAACACCTCTAAAAAAATCAATGTCAAATGCCCTAAAAACCTAATTTCTTTGAATTCCCACTTGTAGGAATTGATATCAAACACATCATGAATATGCTTTAAAAAATGCATCATATATATTTTTAAAAACTATTATTATTATTATTATTTTAACTCACCAGAGAGAGACAGAGAGAGAGAGAGGGAAAGGGAGAAAGCAAGCCACCAGGTCTGGGATTTGAACTGCAGTTGACCATGTGGAAGTCCAGCGCCTTAACCACCACGTAATCTGCTGGCCTTAAAAATATGTATATTACTGGGGACCAGCAGTTGGTGTAATGGCTGCGTCGCTGGACTCCCATGTAGTCGCCCGGTTAGAGTCCCGGACCTGGCGGCTTAAACTCACGCTGGGTGCATGTGCGTGCTGTGCCCAAGATCCCGAGAGGAGGACGGAGGCGAGGGGATTGCGGTGCAGTCATCGCCACTGGGGGGGAGGTGATTGCTCGCTTTCTGTCGCTCTTTCTGGCGAGCGCGCGTGCCCTATATATATATATATATATTATATATTACGTTATACTATATGCTAAGTACTATAGATTACATATCTCCTGTAACTCATGACATTAGAGCGCAAATTAAATGAATTCTCCTCTCTTTTCCACCGAGTTGCACATGCCTGTAATTCCAGGTAACTGGGAGCCGGGCAGGAGGATATGACACTAACACTGCCAAGTACGGATCTCTGTCGGCCTGGCATACAGGACGCGTGCGCGTCTCCTCCGAGCCCCCCTTTTTAACAGTGTCCTCCTAATAAGTCCCACGACGTGCTCCACCTCTTTGGAAAGCGCTGTTTACAGAGAGCCTGGGAGCTAACACTGGGGCTCCCCGGAGCACACACTCACCTGGGAGCCGCCTGGAAGTGCGCCGGCCCCTTCCCGGGTTCCAGGGGCTGGGCCCTGAGTAGTCCCGGAGACTGGCAGGGCGACAGGGAGAGCCGGCGGCACAAACAGGAAGCCCGCCTTTGCCTCG